TCATTTGTGCGTCAAGTGAAGATATTGCTGGAAGTCGCTCACTGCTCCGGGCGACGAGCTCTACTGTGCGAAGAGGGGAAGAAGGAAGCGCCGCTCACTGCTCACTGCTCCACTTCCAGTGGTTGGAAGTCGCTCACTGCTCCCGGCGACGAGCTCCACTGTGCGAAGAGGGGAAGAAGGGAGCTCCGCTCACTACTCCCGGCGACGAGTTCCACTGTGCGAAAAGGGGAAGAAGCGGCAGCGACGGCGGAGAAGGGAGAGGAGATCAGAGACGGGAGATGAGGGATGGGTTCAAATGAATTTAGGGTTGGTTGGGTTAGATAGGGTAGGGGTTGTATATAAATTAATTTTATTGTATATAAATATAAAAATAAAATGTTTTTAATTTAATAATTAAAACCTGATTTATGCAATATGAAACTTGATTTTGGATTTATGAAATTGATAATCTAATTTCAGGTTTAGGTGTAATTTCCTCATTTTCATCAGTCATAATATTAACCTGATTGAGGCTCCATTCTCTAAAGTCCAAACCTATTGTCTTCACTCCTTCACCGGGATGCGATCTTTACTTCTCATTCTCCTTGCTCTGCTGCTGCTTGCTATCGCAGCCTTTTGGTAAGCGGCTTCTTCTCTACAGTCGAGCAGTTATGTTTATTTTGTCATTCTTGATCTGATCTGGATATTGTTTGTTTTTGGTTTTTGATGATTATGGTGTAACTGGTATTATCTATTTGTATGCATTTTCTTAATTGGAGATTGAGTGTGTTTTTGGTGCTGAAAATAGTGGGAGTCATGGATGATGGATCTAGATCTTAATTTTGAAGTTATGAAAGTGTTCGTGGGTAATAATTTTTATGCTTTTATCATTTCTAGTTCTGAGAAAAGAACCAATTTTTGGCATTCTTTTTTCGTTTAATTACTGTTTTTTTTAGGGAAATCCAAGTTAAAGATTGGCCATCTTCTTGATTGATAAGTGTTTTATCTTGTTTAACTCTTTTCCAGTATCTGTCTCGGCTCCACTTTTTGTTTCAATTCTTTTATTTTTATTTTTTTGTTTTTTTGTGAATACATTTATGAATTTGAATCTGTCTCGGCTCTTCTTTTTTTTTCAATTCTTTTATTTTTATTTTTTTGTTTTTTTGTGAATACATTTATGGATTTGGAGAAAACAACAAGAATTAAGAAGATTAGCATTTACATGTATATTGAATAATTTTTAATATTATTTAATTAAATATTAATAAATAACATCGCTCTTACGAATTACGATCGCTAATTGTCGACGGTCAATGGTCAACGTCCGCTCGAACTGAATTTCAATGCTAGGTCCGTCACTGGTTTGTTGCGTTTAATTATATTATTCAAGCAATTTTTTTTGAATTCCGCAAGACTACCAAATAAATAGTTTATATGCTCTATTTTTTAGAATTTGGCCTTTTCTTTTCAATTAATCTTAAAAGTGACTAACAAACCAAAGGAAGAACAGAATTATGGAAAGCAGCAGAACAAAATATCTAAGGCAATGGCCACGGCCCATAAGCTTTGACAGAGAAATTGTGTTTACATCATTCTGTAAAATATGAAAAGGATAGAGAGGATAGATTATTTATTACTCCAGTAATGCTCTTTTTCCTCTAGTGATTCAAAGGATTTATTGTTACTCCTCGCCTCTAAGGCCTAGTGAAACGAGATCAAGTGGCACGACACGTGGGCAGACAGTCAACGAGAAAGTCAAAAAGAAGCCCAATAGGTCAAACACACCAATAAGACAAACAGGCCGAGGTCCTTACACAACTTCTGAAGTTCTCACACAGCATGATGAAGTCCAGGCTGAGGCAATTCTTCGAAGACGAAGCTCAGATCCATCCGAGGCTCTCTCCAACTCATCTGAAGCTCATTGAGCCGACGCAGTCTCTTGTAATATATTTAAGAATCTACTAGAAGTGAGTGATGTAATACTTGTAATAAAGTTGTCAGTGTGTCAGCTACTGTATATGGCGGTTGACATCTTATCAATATATTAATTGTATAAATAGACAGCGATGTGAAGCCTTTGCTATAGAGATAAGTTCACGTGGTTCCGATCCAACGATCACCACGTCTGCCAAGCCAGTATAAATAAGTTCTCTTTGTAATGAAAAAAGGGATGGAAAAAAGAGATATGGACGAACATATGTTCAATCTATACACTTGAACTCTTGAAGGAAATATTTTTACATTTCATCTATCCTTCCATATATTCCTTCTTTATTATTACATAAATCAATTTGGTTTCCGTCCGACAATCGTTGTTAGCGTGATTGCCTTTGTTCTATCCGTCGGAACTTGAATATTTTTATCTCTCGTCGCAAAGTACTTCCCGCGTCCATTTCCTTATTGCTACCTTTATCATTCCATTAGGAACCCGCTGAAATCATGCTTGACTTGGCGAGAGTGGGCCCATCATCTGTTGATTCATTTTTTGGGGTCAACGCTTATAATTCAAATGACGTGTTTTTCACACTGAAATTTTTCATATGCTCTGTTTTTTTTTTATGCTCTATTTTTGAAATAAATAGATCATATCGTCTATTTACTATAAACACAGAGTTCTCTGTTTCATCGATTTGATATAAAAATAATACGATTAATTGATTATGAATTAGAATTGCAGTAAAGTTCCGCTTTAATAAAAAAATGTTACTTATTTAAATATTGTTACGCTTATAAAAGAAATTACGTTCGAGAATTTCATAATAATTAGTCGTCTTGATTCTTTAAATTTTCAGGGTTAGCCCTGCTCAACAGGTACCCTAATCAAGCATAGCAAAAAAAATGAAAAGAAGTAAAAGAAGGGAGAATGCCCTAGGGCACCATTGTCGTGGTACCACCTTACCACCTCTTCAAAATGAAAGATGAGGGAAGAATTTAAAAACGTGGGCAGTACATCGCATGCCACGTGGAAGCAGATAATTGGGAGTTAATGGGCCAGCCAATTGGTTCCTTTTTGTGGGGTAGGGTCGGGACAGGAATGGGACGGAGCTTTAAAAGTGTCTAGTTAGGGTTCCCTGGTTGGCAGGGTGGTCACATGGACATCCCATGTGTTGTCAACTAGGATTCCATACATCCTAAGTTCACATCTACTTTGGATTATATTTATGATAGGGGATTCTTTTGCAATTTAAAATACATACTTTATTTTGTGAAAACAATGAAGAATGGGTTTGGAAAATAAACAATTTTTTTGAAAACCTATTCAAGCTTAGATCCATTGATTATACCACATAGATCATCAACAATAGACAATAATTCCTAATGAATGCAACTTACAATTTTTTATCGTAGTGTGCTATTCAAAGAGTAGCTGTCCTCATGATCTCACACAAAATTTACGAATTCTTAGCAAGTGTCACACTTTTGAAGAATTGCATGGCCTACCTCTAGAAGTAGGCCGGAAAAGACAAGTGATGGGCATCTTAAATGATAATTTCATTTTTGTTAAAGCTCAATTTATCTCTGATTGTATAGTTGAAAATACTGATACTCTAACTTAACCTACTCTCAATTTGCTTCGCTTCTGCGAGAGGTCTTCACGAGCTAAGCATTGAGCACCATAGTCCTCATTAGCCAGTTTTACATATCTTCTAAACGAAGTATATGAATGTAACTTCTTTGTCATGGGCTAATTATATAAATATGGAAATCTGACTACTTTCCTGTTTACTAAATTCCAAATACAAAGAGTTGATAAATATGATTTAAATAAGCTAAAGGATTGACAGTAAATGCTTGCTCTAGTTTGTTTACACGATCCATAATTAACCAAACTTTTCAAAGTTACTAGAAGCATGACATCAACAGAAACAATTATTTTGCATACGGATTATATTCCCTAAGTACAGAGAAAGTTTCACAGGTTTCCTACAGGGTGTTGCTGTGACAACATTCTGTCCGTCTGTTTTTTTTATTATTCTCATCTTTCAATGATGTTTTGTCATGTGTGATCCGTGAAACAGTTTTGTAAAAAAAATCTGTAAGGACCGCATGATTATTTGCATAAAGCTACATAATTTAGGAAAATCTTGTGCCAAAACCCAACCCACTGGAGGATGACATGAGCTGGATCCAAAAAGATAATTTTGGAAAGTTTTGGTACATTTCGAGACTAGGTGAGTTCCCTTTTTGGGAGTGTACTCAATTGAAATTGTGATGGATTTTAAGTTTAATTTTTTTATTTAGATGTCCTCAATTAAAATTTTAATAGATTTTAATGAAATTCATTAAAATTTAGGTATAATCAATAACTAATGGATGTATAAAGATCTCATTAAAAAAGAGATTTTAAAATATTTGGATGAATTTCAAGCTTAAAAATACATACAACCAAATATTTGGAAATTTCGCCATATTTGACGATTTATGAAACTTGTGGAAATCTATTCAAATCCACAAAATTCATTATGATTTATAATCTTTTAAAATCCATCAAAATTTTAGTTGAGCACGCTTGTTAATCCTTTAAGGGTTTCTCTAGTCCTTTCCGTACCAAGAACTTCATGTCAGTATTTTAGAGTATTTAGCATTTTAACAAATCATATAGATTCCAATTTTTTTGTGCTATTTATGAAGAAGCGTACACTGAATATAATTTCTACTACTCGAATTTCACCATTTAAAGATACAATAACATCCTTGTATAACTCGAGTACAACCTCGATTTCACGGTTTAAGTTATTCCCATTTATCTCTTTACTAATACGGAAATCACTTCTACTTTATTGTCCATAAAAAACTAAGATGTGACGATTTGTTGGATTATTTATTGTCTACCCACGACTTAATACTAGATTTATAATTACTTTAGATTGTCCTTTTTAAACTTGTCAAAACATTTCATCGATTATTAACTAAGCCTCTGTTTGAATTTCATTTTCTTCTGCGAAAATTCTACTTTTTAAAGTTAAATTAGTATTTTAAACACACATTTCGTGGCCTCATAAATACTACCCACTTATTAACCTTTTGTTTCTTGATTTTTTTTTTTTAACAAAATAAACCAAAACTCAAACTCCCCCAACTTAATCACATAAAAAATGATGAGACAATAATGTTGAAATTGATATAGCTCATAATACATAATAATATTATATGTACACTATTTTTTACATCATTTTTTTATATCATGACACGTGGAGCACATTGGACAATTTAAAAAACACGCACTTTCCTGGCAACAATTTTTTTTGAAAACAATAAATGTCGAGGCTACATTTAGCATTGTACATCTTTTCTTTTCCCTTGAGATAGTAACAATGTAAATCACTAGATACTACGCCATCATCCTCGCCAAAATCTACGCGTTGGTCATCCCACCTATATGATAAAATAATGTTACTAATCCTCATCGGGGTGGATCCGCAGTTTATATGACAATTACATGACATTAAATGATAGATTCAATTAAATGAATCACGTATTTAAATGAATCTATCATTTAATGTCATGTAATTACTCATCCCCAGTGGGATAAATAACATTACTCTATGTGATAGCATAAAACATCAACTCCACAAATCGTCAATCAGAATATGTCAAATGGGGCCGGTTGCTGTCTCAAATTCTTCTCATATGTTGACGTCGTCGTTCTCTGCTTCCAGATTCCAGGTAATCCCGGTGGCGTTACGGATCGAATCAGCGCGAAATTCAAGTCCTTAAAAAACGGGTGGATCTTGACATCAGCCGCCCCGCGTTTCGACCCGAGTCTTCTATTCGGGTCCTTGTTGAGTAACTGGGATATCAAGTCACGAGCGTACATTTCACTCACACTGCACGGCGAGCCTGTGGGGAAAGTTAAGGGCATTTTGACAATGTCACGCAGTGTGGCCGAATTCGATACACCCGCAAATGGGGTTCTTCCATATATCATTTCGTATATAAAGATGCCAAGGGCCCACCAGTCCACGGCATTGCCATGGGACCTGCCGGAGGCAACTTCAGGCGACACATATTCGTGGGTCCCAACGAAGGAACAAGACCGGGCGGCGACTGGCTCCGCCACGAACAACCGGTTGTTGGAAAAAGACTGGATCTTCTTTGACCGGAACAGCCGATCGGAAATGCAGGAGAATGGCGTGATTGTACGGGCTGTTGGCGAGGACGGTGAGTCTACGGAGGAAAAGTCAGGCGATTCAATGGCTGGGATTGAATCCGAGCAAAGGGAAAGATCAAAATCAGTGAGCATAATGTGACCGTCTGATCTAACCAACACATTTTCTGGCTTCAAGTCCCTGTAGATGATTCCCAACATGTGGAGGTATTCCAGTGCTACCAATACCTCAGCAGCATAAAACCTGGAAAAATTTACCAAAAAATTATAATATTTAGCACCAGCGAACAAGGTCTTACGTTAACAGGGGTTATAATTTTACGGGAAACATAGAAAAATGTTCCTGATGGCTTGTTTCAGAAGTTAAAGAGATAGACCCTGATATGGACAATTCCGTTTCAGATATCAAAAGTCACCAAAACAAGAGAACCCCAGAAAGAGAAAAGTCTTATTAATGGAAACTTGCCGCTAAATTGAACAATTATTCAAGTAAAACAGATTAGTTTGTTTAGAACAAAAAATTCTATGAAGGGTCTTTTTATGCAGAAGAAAAACTGAATTTGATATGTAAGTTTCAGTTAATTTAGCCCTTCAAAAAAGTAATCAGCTTCTCTAAAGTATAATCTCTCTCCGATCAAGAAACAGACAAAGGAGAGAAGAGAATGTAGAGAGAAAAAATCACCTAGCTGAAGTGAGAGAGAAGCGTTGTTGAGGCTGTTTGTGCCTAATGGAATGCAAATCACCCCCAGAACAGTATTCCATGACAACACAGGAAAAATGGGAGGCTTCAAATTCTGCATAAAGAGTAGGCAAAAAGGGATGGTCAAGCATTCTCATGATGTTTCTTTCAGTTTCAGCTCTCTGGGATTTTTTCTTCAATGCCAAAACTTCATTATCGACTACTTTCATGGCATAGAGTCGCCCCTCCTCCGCCCCGCCGCGGAGATGGCAGAGATATACTTTACCTATGTCACCGCTTCCGATCTGGCGGACCAAACTGAAGTCCCTGAAGCTCAACCCTGTCTTTGAGCGAATGGCTTGGAATGAACAGTCCGATGATCGGTGGGGTTTCAGGGTAAGAAGATTTTCAGGCGAGATCGTCGGCAGATCCAAAGATAATCGGCTAAAACTAGTGCAATGACTGATGGTAGTGTCGCTACTCATGGAGGTTTTGCTGGAATTAAAACCGTCTGAAATCAACTCGTCGGAGTTTCTATCGAAGTCCAACATTTTGCAAACAATTTCATGTAAAAATGCGAGGACTTACAACGAAAGAATAATAGAAGATACGCGTTGAAAAATAACGGATTTTAGCTTTTGAGGTGTTCCTTTTCTTTCTCCTGTCGAATCAGATCATATGGGAAATGGAAAATGAGAAGAATAAAGAACAAAGTCAAAATTTGAAGACACAAGTATCTGCGTAAACGAAACGGAGCTATATGGTGAGCTTTTCTGTGTAATACGGCTCCGTCTGTATTTTCAGTTTGAGGGAGGGAGAGAGAGAGAGTGAGAGGGTGAAATATGCTGGAACGGTCTACTTTAAGAGGTACAGGGTACGGATGCAGTAAAATTTTTTTTATTTTTTTATTTTTTTGGGTAAATTAGAAAATAGTTGGAATATGAGTTATGATGGAAAATACAATAAATATTTTAAAAATAACTTTTTCACCTTATTCATAGAAGGAAAGTGTTATGTATACATAATGATCTACACAAAATTTTCACACACATGCAGGCCCACACACAATAAAATATTTGTGGGCACCCCTCCATGTGAGGGGGTGTGAAATTTTGTATATATATCACAAGGTGTACATATAGCATTTTCCTTTATAGAATCAATATTCTAATTTCTGTCATCCATGTGCTATCGTACTCGCTCATCCTATGCTACATTTTTTTCTTTTTGAATGATGCTTGAAGTGCAGGGACCTGCATGTGGGGGCTGTGTCAATTTTTTTTTTTAAATACATGTGGGGGCCCGCCTCTTTGTGAGAGGCTTGTAAGGCTCCTGTGAAAAATTGCCATGTAATGGGAAGAGGGAAGGAAAGGCACAAATTTGTAATAATTGGTCGAAAGGAAGAAATGTCACGAGTCGTTGAATACATACATACAAATATGGTAAATGCTAATTTTCCAAGGAAGTAAAAATGTGGCCCATAAATACCTTTTTTTACAAAAAAATATTAATATTGTGATTTTTTTTTTCTATGATTAATAAAAAGAGCTTTTATTTCAACTTTGGCACGTGAGGATAATGTTTCCAACGTGTCATGCTTTGCTGACGTCGGCAGATACGTGCTCAAAATGTAGGTCTGTAGTTTTGGCACGTGTGGAATGGGAAGGGTTTGCTTATTTGCTAAAAGCTTCCGACAGAATATACAGTGCGCGTGTGTTGGACTTAGAGTTTGAAAGTAGAACTTTTTGGATGAAATGTCAATAGTGTCCTTGAGGACCTGTGGGGCTCCAATTTGATTCAATTAAGGTTGGTGTACCTTTTTGTAAATTCAGAAAAAACCTCAAAGTACGGGCTATTATACGCATATCAAACGTTTGCCCAAGAACACAGACATAATCTAGAAGAAAATTTGGTCAGTAAAATAGCATCATTCGACACTAATCTCTATACATTTTTCACCCAAATTGGTTGATAGATTTACCTGCCCAGTTTGAGCTGCATACTTTTGCCAATATGCATTTTAAAACAGTTATTCTAATATATTTTAGTTTGAATATCAAAATACTCGTTTTACTGTACAAAAATCAATCGCTCAATTAAAAAGTACAAGAGTGCAACGTGAGAACAAGACAACTTGGTAAGAAAGGGGCCGTTCTCTTTGTCGTTTTCCAGCTATTTTCTATTTTTTGTTT